TCCAATACAGATTTTCAGTTATTTTCAGTTCTGTGTTTATGTTACTTACAGAAGCAAAGAATTTGCTGTGAATATATGTATAATCAATACAAATAGTAAGTGATCAACTACCACTGGACTCGTCAGGGAGATTCGAATTATCCAAATATACAATGTCAAAGAAAGATTGTCAGTATCTGAATAGCCTGCAATTGCAAAGAAAGACTAAAAGCATAATCAAGAAATCTGAAGCAAATTCTCATGGTTTGCAAAAAAGGAAAAGAAAACTTTTCTGCTGAAGTGGCTCTAACAATGTATTTACTCTATATGAGAGCAGCATGGACATACGTGGCCCCATCATAAGTAGATGAGCATGTGTACAGGAAAAGAGCACAGACCCTAGAGTGCTCAAATGCAGGCTCTAGAGTGTTCAAATGCAGGCTTTACCTTTCATTAACAGCATAACTTCAGTTTCCTGGTTTATAAAGTGGAAACAAAGAGGGTCTTCTTTCATAGATACTAACTAGGTTCCAATCTGAGCAAAATTCTGTCAATTCTGCCTACCCAGGCAGTTGGGGTTTATGGTAATACAAAATCATTTGAGTCTCAGTGGTTGAACTACTGTTAGTCTACATCTGTGCCATTCAAAGCAGTGTCTTCCTTTCATATACATATTTATGATTAGAGGATGAAAAACAAACTACTAACACCTTTGGATAATGTTTAAGAGAGTTGAAAAGAATCTTGCGGTAGAGCCAAAGTTATCAAAACCTACAGTTACCCTCTGAGCTCTGGTCATCTGTATCTAGGAACAAATAGACTGAAGAGTTTGGAAATTAACCAGCAAATAAATAAAAAGTTTTGGTACCACTATACAACTACCATTCAAGGTTGGTTATGAGAATTAAATGATGGTGTGCTAGCCATGGTCAAAGGAAAAAGAGAGAGAGAATAATTAAATGAGACAAGACAGTTAGAATGCCTAGCACATTCTTGTAATCCTTCAAGAAATTTTGAATCAACCTGTGTGTATACTCTCTGCAAGTCATAATTTTTTTTAAGTCAGATTAGGAATCATTCTTTGAGGGAGCAGCTTTAGAAAAGGCTTGATCTGATCTATAAAATTTGGACCATAAAACCAAATGGACTTAGTCCACCAGTATTTAACAAAGTGATGTCTGAGGTGAATAATTACAAGTCTACCAATCTTCTTCACGATGAAGAACAGTAGCCACAAGAAACCTACCTGGAAAGCAAACAAAACACCTAAAATTGGATCTAATTCAGAGCAGCAAACAATTTTAATGTTTATGGAGACTGCCTGGATTTGACGTTCAGAAAATTCAGTTAAGAATGGCATTAAATATTATCCTAAGTATTGGAGTTAGGCTGGGTCAAAACAGACCATAGATTTTGAGAAGACTCCAAAAATTTCCTCAGCTTAGTTCTACGGGACAAAGCATTAAAAAATCCCTGAGAAACATGCCAGCATCTGCCCTCAATTCCAGAAGCAGGAAGCAAAGATGTGACCCAATCACATGATATCAAACCACAGTCCATCTGTTCAGAACTCTGTTATGTAAGCCATGACCAAGGAAGAAGAGCAAAAGGCAAAAGGTTTGTCAACATTTGCAAGGGGCTCTGTAGTTTGAAGAGACATATTTTCACATCAAAAGGGCCATCCACAGGATAACAGCAGTTTCAAAACTCAATTCATTACACATGAACATATTTGATGCAATAAAATGACACTATAAGAATGGTGTTGAGTCCCTGTAACTGTTCAACTAAGGCCTAGAACCTTTCAACAGGGGTTTTCCCCACATGAGCAGTCCTTGTGGGGAAGACCTCTGCTGAAAGATAAAGAACAAGATTTATCTTCCTCTTGATCATTTTTATCATGTGAATTCCTCACTTAATTTCAACAACAAAGCAGATCATCTAAACCAAGGCCTTTTAATTACACCCAATTCAATTAACAGTACTTACCCAAGACCATCTTCCAAACTACTATAGGCTTATGTTTCTCAGTCAATAAGTATTATACCAGGTCCTTTTACTGGCAATTAAAAAAAAAGAATCCTGACCTTTCCCTTGAGGACTTTTAGCCTTTAATCATTCCCCCTCCCTTCCACCTTTAGAATTCACTTTTCATAAATTGTGTGAAGTGCAAGGCCTATTTCACTTAGGTAAGTCACTTCATTAACCCCGTCCCACGCCCACCTCCAAGTCCTTCACATTTTAAAGCAGCATATAGGGAGGGCACAAGATTTGGAATCAGAAAATCAAAGTTCTTGTCTCTGTTCTGCCCCTGTGTCACCCCAAGAAATTCACCTAATCTGAGTAGTTTTTTCATCTATAAATTTAAGTGACAATATACTTAGGACTTTCACCAGTTGAATGCCTAGCCCTAGTGGGCATCCTATAATGTTATTCTCTTTCACTTACTCTACTTTGATTACTTTTATGCTTTGTTTCCAGCCATGTACTATAGCCTTTAGGGTTGGGGAAAAAATGATAGAGGTTAATACATCCAAATCCCACAGTAAAGAATAAGGAACCTAACTTTGAAGAGTAACTCGCCAGTCAGTAAAAGCTTTGTTTCCTCCTTGGAGTGGGCCCCAGTACAGTTGGGGACACACTTTTAGAGAACTTTCACACTCATCAAATCCCCCTCTGAATTGTACCCACCCTTCAAAGTCAGTTTAAGTCCTAAACTGTCCAGGAAGCCTCCCCTAATCACTCCAGCCTACACTAATCATCTCCCTTTTTGAATACTAATGCCTCCCTACAGGGATGACATTAAAAATATTTAACAACTGGCACTACAAGGGTACCAACCAACCAGAAAGGATGTTTACCCAAAACACACATGGCCCAGTGGGAACTGCTTGTTGAACATCAGTCCTGCTCATTAGTAACAATACAGAATAGCAACCTCAAACTCAAACACCACTTTCTCATGTGATCTTCACAATCTCATGAATTAGGCAAAAGTAGGTATTGCCCCTATTTTCTGCATAACTGGTGGTGAAGGTGGGACTAATAACCAATTTCCTTCACCATACCATACAACATTTCCTGATTATTTATACGGAATTACAAGTTAATATTGCATAAACTGGACTTAGATAAAACAGTATACATACTAAAGGAATGCTCAAATAGAAATCAACAAGCATCTACACGGAATAGAATATAAAACACAGTGCTAAGTTCTGAGGCCAGAAAGGAAAGAAACGGCATGAATCTCGTCCTCTAGGTATCTATAACATATTCAAGTGTAGTTAAGTAGCAGTGCGGACAGTAGAAACGGACAATACAAACTGTAAGTGCTGCCGAGTTCTGGAAGACAAAGAATTCAAGAACTAAACCAGCACAGGAAGTCAGGACTGAGAACTTCTTACACTCCCAAAAAAGGGGCAAAATTAAATGTGTAGTGAAAAGGCTGAACAGTTAGGAGTCAGTGAGAAACAGAAATTGCTTGAAGGTCTGCGGTAATGAGAAGTGAGGTCCCTGGTAGGATACTCAGAGATGGCCCCAATCATAAGCTGCTGAAGTGTTTCTCTAAGTGCCAAAGACAAATGGGAAATCATATAAACCTTTATGGGGATGGCTGAGGAAGATTAGTTTGGCAGTAGCCCACAGAAAAGCTTAGAAGAGAGAAACATGGGAAAGCAACTAGATTTGGAGGATAACAGGCAGGATTAAGCTGAAGGCTGCATACCAAGAAAGGAGGAGACATTCAAGAGGCATTAATAGAAACAAGAGTTGGATTTAGAGCATCTTTTCAAAGAAAAAATGTTATGAAATGGCAGAAAGGAAGCAAACAGCATTCTCACAAGGGATATTCATATAGACACAGTGGTACTAAACTGTGTACTAGCGACAAGGAATCAATTTTCCTAGAGAAATCTATGCTGGAGAAAGAAGTTGGGCAAAGAACAATAAAACATACTCAAAAAATAAGAAACTGCAATCTTTACAAGAGAAGCCAAATTATAGAGAGAAAAAAAGCATTTGACCTTTTTCAGAATGTCTTTTAAGGGTGGCCTGAGACATCATCATAGCCAATAAGAATGGTAGAGAAGCTGAGGCAGTCTGGGCTTAGAGTAATACGCACCTGGACAGCTCTGAACTGTGTACATGCCATAGAGACTAAACTCCCCCAGGACATGGGCTGAGCAATGTGCTGTATATCCAACTAAGTCCACTACTGTTACTTGAATACATGAACACTTCCTGTGCTACTTTTGGTGAAAAGGAGTGCACTACATTATTCAAGTTAATAGTGGTGTGGAAATGTTACCTATGCTTCACGCCTAACTATATTGATTCTCCCAATCTGTCCACATAGTTATCTTGCCTTCCTCCCTAGGCCAATGTCAAAAATCCATTGTTTCCTCTAACGCAGGCCCACGTGAAGGGACTCAGGAATGTGCTAAGAGTCAGAATGAAGCCTATCTGATATTCATATCATGAGGACAGAATCTAAAAGTGAATAATAAAGACCAATTGCGACTGAAGAAGAAAAATGGGCTATGCCAGGTAGTATGATGCATATGTTTGTGTGTGTGTGTGTGTGTGTGTGTTTGTGTACATAATATGATGTACAGGTTTTGGAAACTGAGATCTGAGTGAAAATTCTAGCTTTAGCACTTAGTTACTGCGTACTTAAACAGATCCAGGGGTCTGCACCCCACTTTTCAAATCTGTAAAGTGGGGCAAATGCCACAAGTCCTGAGAGTTTAGTTGTGGTGATTAAATAATGTACGTATGCAATAGTGTACTTTATGCATTTACATCATAGTAATGCATAATATATAGACGGAAGCTATTAGGACTAATTATAATCATCTTCAGTCTTGATTTTTAAAAGAATTTTC